TGGAAAGCTTTCTATTGTTGACAGCTGCGAATAGATATGAATTCAATTAGCAATATGAATTGATGTGAGTTTTATTTATTTACCTTTGGCATCGCTCTTGGTTGTGGTTATTGCTTTGGGAGGATGCTGAGCTGCTGCTATTGTTGTTGTAGGCAATTGTGGATGTTGCGGCTGTTGCAATTGGAACTGTTGCTGCTGCTGATGCTGTTGCTGCTGCTGCTGCTGCTGCTGCTGCTGCTGCTGCTGTTGTTGCTGCTGCTGCTGCTGCTGTTGTTGTTGTTGTTGCTGTTGCTGCTGTTGTTGTTGTTGCTGTGCTGCTGGTGGAGGTGGCGGAGTTGGTGCCGGCGGCTTGTTAGTGTCCATGCGTGTCGGCTCATTGATAATAGTTACATTGGGCAGTGCGCCCTTGAGCAGTGCCTGGAGTATGAGCTGTGATTGATGATCCTGCGGCGTGTTGGGATCATGCCGCAAGATCAGTCGCTCGCAGTGCTCTGACACGGCCAGCGTTAAGCTGCCCGTCAGTTGGGGCACCAGTGCTGCAGCCGAGGCTGGCGAGCCAACTGATATGGAGACGTTGCCCGGCATGCCCGTCAGTTGTGGCGGCAATATGGTGGCACCACCAGCCGTAGTGACAGCTTGCATTGGAGCCGCTGTTGGCGGTGGCGTGGCCTGTGGTATGGCCACCAATTGCATTTGACGACCATCGCTGGACAGCTTTATTGTGGCTGTCTCGGGCGCCGATGTTGCTGCCGCTGGCGTTGGCTGAAATACGAGCTGCGCTTGCGGTGTTGCAGCTGTGTTTGTCGTTGCTGTTGTGGCTGCCGATGGCACTGCACCACCCATAACTGTGGCTCCAGGTGGTAGAATGGGCATTATTTGAATTTTGTTCTCCACAGCACTGCTGATGGGCAACGTTGACTGATGATGATTCTGCACCTGCGAGATCTGTATATTGCCTATCTGACTGGGGACAGTTGTAGGCGTGGTGTTGTTGACGCCATTAGCGCTGCTGTTGCTGCTGCTGCTGCTGCTGGCGAGTCCTAGGCCGTGCGGCAGCAATATGCTGGAGCTGCAGGCACTGCTGCTACTCACTGGCGTTGTCAGAGTGATGGTGTTGACGGTGTTGACGGCGCTGCTGTTGCCACTGCTGCTAATGGTGGTTGTGGTGGTGTTGTTGCTACCAATTATGCTGTGGCCTATGTTGTTAATGTTGCTTATGGTATTGCTGATGATATTGCCATTGTTAATGCTGTTGCTGCCATTGCTTATGCTGTTGAGCGTGTCCTGCTTTTTGGTGTTGCGGCGCACAGCAGGTTTGCGTCGCGGCTTCACCGCTGCCGTCGTTGCAGCAGTTGTTGAGCTTAGCGTAGCCGCTGTTGTTGTTGTCGTGGGTGTGGCCAACGTTATGCTTGCCGCAATGGGCGCCGGTTGCAGCGTGACATTGCCAATGGTTTGCGACTGTGTTCCCAGGCTGAAGCTAATTGTTGGCGCCGGCGTTGTGCTTTGTATGCTAGTGCAAATTTTGGCACCAGCCGCAGCTGCCGCAGCCGCAGCGGCTGCTTGCTGGGCGAGATGCTGTTGTGCCTGGCGCTGTATCTCCTCGGCTGTGGGTAAGCGCGGCGTTGACAGCGTGTACGGTGGTAGAGTTGATCCAGTGGCAGCGGCCGCTGCAGCCGCGCCATCGCTTGGATCAATCTTAATGAGGATATTTGGTATTTCGGTGGCTTCGTTGACCGGCGCTGGTGCCGGTATGGTCAGCGTAAAGGGCAGCCCATCGCTGCCGTTTTGGCTCGGTATGGAGATCATGATATCGTTGGAGCTGGGCGCCGTTGTTGCATTGACTGCCGCGCCCGCTGCTCCGTTGCTTAAAGGCGGTGGTGGTGGTGGCAGTGATTCCTCAATATGGTGATGGTGGCCGCTGCTGTTGTTGCCGCTAGTGCTGCTGCTGCTGCTATTGGATGCAGCTGCTACAGCTGATGCAGTGTTTGTAACGGCATCCATGCCATAGTCCTCATCGTCATCATCATCCTCCGTGATGCCGCAGAACTTCATCACATCGCCGAGATCTAGTTTGCCATTGCTGGCGCGTTGGATATGCGTAGGCGGCGGCGATGGCGACTTCAACCGCGCCACCTGCGTCGGAGCTTGCGGCGTGGGTGTTCGTGCTAGCGTCGGCGCTGGCGAAGTTGTGAGCGTGGACGTGGCAGGTATAGCAATCTTTTGCTGAGCTGTTGCCATCGTAGCCGCCGGTGGTTTCTTTTTGCGCGGTCGAGGCTTCTTCTTGGGCTCCGCCGTGTGTTGCTGCTGCTGTTGTTGCTGTTGCTGCGCCTGCTGCACCTGCGTCTGTGTCTGTTGCAGTTGCTGCTGCAGCTGCTGTATTTGCGCCTGCTGTTGCTGCTGCTGTTGTTGCTGCAGCTGTATGGTGGCCATGGCCGCCTGCTGCTGTGCCGTTGGCTGGCGCAGGGGCTCCGGTGTAACAGCCAGGGGCACATGCGCTGGTGAGGATTGAGCAAAGAGCTCCGCGGAACTGTTGCCGCTGCCACTGGCGGCTGCCGTCGTTGTCGACTGCTGTGGCGGTTGCGGAGTCTGGAAGGCAGTGGCAATCTGCTGCAGATGGGCGCCATTCAACTGATTTAGATTGATGGTAGCACCGCCAAGGGTTTGCTGCAGCTGCGATATCGCCGCCAGACCATTGGGCATTTGAATCTGAGCAATGCCATTGCTATTGGCAGCAGCTGCTGCAGCCAGCTGCAGGTTCTGCAGCTGAGCCGCAACGCTCTGGCCCAGCAATTGGGTATTAATGGTGGCCGTTGTGGTAAACGGCTGAGATCGTGGCGTTTGCGCTGCCAGCGCCGCATGCAAGCCGCTGAGCTGTGTGCCGGTCTTGATGGCACTTTGGAATTGGCCAGCGGCAGCTGTCTGCTGGATGAGGTTGCCCTGCGAAGATACTATAAATGTCGGGGTGGCGGCTGCCAGCTGCATGGTGGCGCCATTGGTGCCCACAATGCGTAGCAATTGCTGCTGTGCTGGCTGTTGCAGTTGCGGCTGTCCGCGCGAGTTCTGTATAACTAGAGAGGACGTGGCAGCCAGCTGCGGCGTGGGTGGACGCAATATGAGCTGCACACCCTGCGGGTTCTGCTGGACCAACACGGGCATCTGATTGAGCAGCAATTGCTGTGGCTGTGCTGCTGTTGCAGGCAGCAAAATTTGCTGCTGCTGCTGGTTGTTGGCATTGCTGGACGCAGCACTGAGCTGCGCCTGTTGCGGCTGAGGCGACTGCGAGATCTGAGGCAATTGTGAATTGTTATTGCTGATAATTTTGTTCTTCGACAGCTGCTGCATCGACTGAGACGCCAGTTCCTGCTGCGGCTTAGGCAGTATCTGTTGTGGCGCCTTGCTAGCCTTAGTGTTCACAGTAGACAACGCAATGCCTGCATTGCTGGTAAAACGTTGTTGTTGCTGCTGCTGCTGCTGCTGTTGTTGTTGTTGCTGTTGCTGCTGCTGCTGCTGCTGCTGTTGCTGCTGTTGCTGTTGTTGTTGATGCTGCTGCTGTTGTTGCTGCTGCTGTTGCTGCTGCTGTTGTTGCTGCTGCTGTTGCTGCTGCTGCTGCTGATGTTGCTGCTGCTGCTGCTGTTGCAAATGTTGCTGCTGCAATGTCGCCTGCTGGGTGGTGGCTATGATCTGACCCTGAGGACCCTGAATGAACTGGAAAACTTGCTGCGGCGCCTGCTGCTGCTGCGGCCCGCTGGTGATTGTGAACTGCTGCGGCAGCATCTGTACGGCCTGAGGCTGTGGCGTTGGCGGCTTGATGGCCGCAGCAGCAATTGCGTTGCTGGGACTGGGTATGGGACTGTCTGCTATCAGCGGACTACTGCTCTGGTATTGCTGGAACTGCGCCTGCTGCTGTTGTTGATGCTGCTGTTGGCTCAGCACCGAATTGGCGCCCTTTTTCGCTTGACCTTTTGGGCTACTAGCCACATTTGCTGTCGTAAACGAAATGGGCGTGCTGATTGCCGTTGCATTCGGTTGCCCATAGCCGCCGGCAACTGTCGAACAGATCGAGGTGGGCGCCGCTGCGTTGGTGCTAAAGATTTGCTGCTGCAGCTGCTGCTGCTGCTGATGTTGCAGTTGCTGCTGCTGTAGCTGTTGTTGCTGCTGCTGCTGACCAGTCCGCTTGTTGCCCTTCTAGAAAAATGTTAAAATCCATTTAGTAAACATTGCCAATTCTCCAATTAATTATGTCTAAATTATTAGTTAAGCTCGAGCCATTTAATAACAGTATTAAGATCAAGTAACAATGTTTAATATCAGCGGTAGCTACATCAAATTAAAAGTATTATTTTCTCTTAGTAATATTAATGATTCAAAATTGAAAACAAAGAAAATTTCAAATTAAATTTGGGAACAGAAAAAATCAACTTTTATATCACTAAGTTTTAGGATGACAAATTCAAAGTTATTAATCAGCTAATTGGTTAAGCTCGCGCTTCACGTAAGCGCAGTGCATTAGTTTTGTTATGGTATTTGTTAAAGCACTAATACTGCGGTTCCACTGGCAGCTATCAGTGTTCCATTTTGATAGGGATCTTATCTTATCGGGCAAGCAGTGCAACTCAATTAAATCTACCTTGTTCAGTTGTATATTATTGGAGCCGACAAGCGTGGCGTTCAACTCAGTGCCGATTGCATTATTGTGTCCACCGGCTGCGGCAGCGGCGGCGGCGGCGGCAATGAGCCCGCCAGCTGTCACGCCGATGACGGTCGTGGCAGCGGCCGGCGACTGTGAGGGACTCGGCTGAAAGACAACGGTGCCGGCGTTGGGACTGCCATTTGTGAACTGATGTATGGATTGCCGCCTGCCAGGCGTCGCCGCCTTGCGCTCCTGCAAAAGGATCAGATAATTAATATGATGCCATGTAAATACAGATAAGCAGGCAACCGAGATTGGACTTACGTGTTCCTGTGGATTGCTGTTGGCGTTTAATGCGTTGCCACCGGCTACGAGCACCACATCCTGTGGGAATGGCGATAGCGATGGTGACGGTTGCAGGCGTGGACTAGCTGAGATCGATGGCGATGGACTGGGCGTCAGAAACGGACCCGGAGGAGACAATATTCCTGCAAAGGCACAAACGCAAACACAATAAAGAATTATTACACACTAAGTATATATATAAACATATACAGATATATATATATGTATATCTGAATGTACATAAGAAATAAGTGCACTTATTCATTGTACTTTATTGGGCCACCATTGACCCACTAATGTCAGGGTCCAGGCGTGTTTATTGGCCGACTGAGTATCGGGTAACCGAGGGGACGCAAGCGCTCCGTAATGAACACCAAGCCATGGTATAAACATCGACAACCATTTGGGGGCAGCAATCTTGTACGTGACCAAAGCGCAACTGAATACATCAGATACAAGCGAACGACACACACAGAAAACAAGCAACAGAGTATCTCGTAGCTACACACACTCTCGCCCCCCATACTCACGCACACACACACACACACATCTACTTGTATAAGTGGGTAAAATTGCGCGCCATTTCAAAGTTGTTTATTTTGAAGCTGGAACGCTTCAATTTGCCGCCGGCTGTGCCATCACTCGGATCCCACTCTTGCCCCGTTCAACAGTTGACGTTGCCGTTGCTGTTGCCGTTTGCTGCTGGCTGCCTTTGTGCATACAAAACGAGGCAACTTAACACATTTCGAGGCACCAACTACCCGACTCAGCGGCTGCCAGTGCGTCAATACATTCACATATATTTTTGTACCGCGCTGCGCGATTCCAACAGAAACAAAAACAGAAACAAAAGCCAAAACCAGTTTCATTAGTGCTTAAAAAAGTTCTTTGCACTTCTTCCTTTGCACTCTTATTTTTATCGATACCCTGTTGACCAAGTTTTAAGAGTATAATTAGGTTTAAGTATGAAGCAATATTAAATATGATTTGTTAACATAAATCTTCAATCAATACATGAAAATCACATAGAAAGGCGCTACTTTCAGTAGTCAGAGAAAGCTGCAGCTGAAGCAAGTAAAAGACCGAATGAAGTAAATAAAATAAAGAAAGGCAGTAAGTAACAGGAAGCGAAGCATAGAAAGAGTCTAACGAAACCGTAGATAACAATACTTAGGGTATACCAGAGTTCCACTCTTAAATGCAAGATGATGCCTAATGAGCCTTGTTATAAGAATATCAGGCAACATAACACAGATGTATCTATGCTATGTTGTATCTCTAGACAAAGAACATTCTCATTCTATTCTAATCCTTATTGAGTTGATGAAGTACTTCGTTAGAATAACAGGAAAATTAACCTAAAATTGATATTCGATGAGTAACTAATAAAGTAGAAACATTGCTGTTGGCACTAAGTGTAGCAGTCAGTGTCAAAAACAAGTTGCGCGGTGCACGTGCTGCCACTTATTGAAATCTGTTTTAAAAATATGTAACTAGTGGGCGTCGTGCCTGAAGTAGTTTTTCAATTAAAAGTTAAACTTTGTTTTTGTTTTTGCTGTTGCTGCCGCTGCTGCTGCTGTTGAGCACATTGTTGCTGTTGATGTTGCTCTTGTGGCAGCTACTTTTCTATATATATATATTGTTTAGAAAATGAAATGAAAAATCAACAACAAAGAGGCGAAAAATTTACATAATACCACCATGGATTGTCCTGTTACACCTACTGAGCGACATGCAGTAGGCAGGCGGCAGAAGGCAGCATTCATTTGCATAGGGCAAAACTGTAGCTAGCGAGCTTAAGAGGCCAACAACGGATGGAAGAGCCAGGGCGGTACGGTCGGGCGGCAGACACAAAGAACGCAACGGGCAAAAAAATAAAGTGAAATGAGGAATTACGGATGGGGCGGCAACAGAATAACACAGCAAGCAGCATAGCGAAGGCGTAGGATAAACGAGCATAAGCATCAAAGAAGCTGCCATCATCTCCTACGTTGCCGCCGCTCGAGACGTTGGCAGCGATTGGAATTGAAGCATGAGACGACGCCAAAGCCAGGACCCCCCGTCTCTCCCGCTCACACATACAGATGTAGGTTTGAGTATGAGTGCGTTGATGTGTTTGAGTGTGTAGCCATTGCCGCCATTATCGACAGCAAAACAAAGCCTAAGAAGAATTTAACAAGCACAACTGCCGACCGTTTACAGCTGCCCAGAGCTAGCAGCGGGAGACGTCGTCTTTCACATCATTCAAGAAGTACATACACACACCCATCTACATGAGAGCTCACTGTGAAATTGTCCTGGCAACGTTGAGAGTTTCATATTTTTAGGCACTGGGTACAATCATTTTCGTCGGAGCCAAAGCTCAAGACGTCGATGTTGGCATCCAGACGTGATGACTGTGCAGCAGAGCGTGGCGGGGATGCAGGAGGCACATGGGATTGGCAAGGCAAGCAGCTGAAGGTACTGAAGGTTGCCAGCAGCAACGTAAATCAAAAGCCGCGCCGCGTGTGCTCTCAATAACAATAAGTATGCAAAGGGGGAGGATGGATATCTAAATACGAATACAAAGTACTTCTAGATGAATGCCTCAACGTTTGTTAGACATCCAACAAACTGTATCGAATTGAGCTCCATCTTGAAAAGGGCAATTTTCCAATATACCCCACGATATCCAATCAATTACTGTTTAACATATCATTAATCAGAAATTCAACTACAATTTGATCAATTTGTAATTAGGAGTTCTGAAACAGAATTTCAATAATCAAATAAAGCAGTCTCTATAAAAAAATCAAAATTTGATCATGCTTTAAACTCAATTCAGTTTATAACTCCACAAAAGTCTCTGTATATTAAGTAATAACTCAATTTCATGGCATATTCTCATATTCCATGTGTCAAGTAATTTGATTTAAGTTAAAATTCAGCATTGCATTTCTTCTATTTGTTGTTAGCCAGCCAAAGAGCCATTCAGCATTCGGACAGACTGATGGAAGCATACATACATATACATATATATTATACACATAAACAGTACGTAAAAAAGTACATAAGCAGAAATTAATGTGTATTTGAGAGTGTGTGGCACATGGACTGAAAAGTGGAGTTGTTCATGGTAAGCAAAACCACAAACGCAAAAACTAAGATATACAATATTTTTTGTAAGTAGCAAATGTGAAACTATTTTATTAATGTCGGACCTTAGTTACCCTGAAACGTCCATCCAATTAATATTGTACATCATCAAATAAATATATGCGAAAAACATATCAATTTATATTCGAATTTGATTCGCTCTCAATTTGATTCACAATTTTAGTATTTTACTTTCTTTTTTTTCTGAAATCTAATATAAATTATGAATTTAAAAGTGTATGAAATTATACGGCATTTGCAACAATTTCATAGATACATTGTACACAATTTTTTGTGAAGGGTATACAAAAAAGGCAAAGCAAAAGCCGAGTCAAAGATATGCACTTGATATGCACGTAGAGATGCTCGAAAGTTTGGCTAGCCGAGACGCAGATGAACGCACGGATAGACGAGGAACGGTTGCACGGATGGTTGGATAGATGGATGGATGGATGGATGGATGGATGGTTGGTTGGTTGGCTGGTTGGTTGCCTGGTTGGTTGGTTGGGTGGATGGTAGTTAACTGACTGCCCGATGCATGCCTGCCTCTCTGCCCGGCCATCTACTTGAGTGTCTGGCGAGAACAGAGAATGACGCCGGGTCGGGCTCGGAGGCAGGGCCAGATGTTGCCACATTATTTTGCATTTTGTGCAGAAGCATAAAAACTGAACCGAGCACACTTTGGGGCTGGGAGGCAAAAACACAGTCAAACGGCGGCTACCCGCGCAGCAAGATGAATCCTATTTACGAGGCACCACTCACTGACTGACTGACGCTGCACAACAGTCACTGAGTGTGCATCTGTGTGTGTGTCTCTCTGTGTGTGTGTGTGTGAGTGCGGTGCATTTGCTCGAGTATCTGAAAGTTTGTTCTCTGTGCGCCGCGCTTTGCTGCCTGTCAAAGTCAGTAAAAATTTTGTTGGCACAAAAAAAAAGTAAAGCGAACGAAAAACAAAATCGGAAAGGGAAAGAGGAAGAAGCAACACAAAAAATGGTAAAGATTCAAAGGTAATGGAAAGTGTAGTGCGAGTAGTTTTTGCGCCCGCGTTCGCAGCAG